TACCAGAGCACATACCCTCCCCAGTGTCTATCACCCAGTCACCCCATCCCTCCCACCCCACCCCCCACTCCAGCAACCCTCAGTTTGTTTCCTGCAAAAAATTTGATGTTCTTATTTCATCTTTTCTCTCGCCTTCCTTTTTATTTGTTGTTTGGGATTTACTTTAAAATACCCCATATATTATCCATAAGTACTATTGCATATCTAGTTTGAATTAATTAATTTTGGGGTGCCTGGGTGGCTCAGTGGGTTGAGCATCTGCCTTCAGCTCAGGTCATGATCCTGGGGTCCTGGGATCGAGCCCCACGTCGGGCTCCTTGCTCAGCGGGGAGCCTGCTTCTCCCTGTGCCTACCACTCCCCCTGCTTGTGCTCTCTCTCTCTGACAGATAAAGAAATAAAATCTTTAAAAAAATAAAATGAAAAAATTAATTTTTATGTATTTATTTAGTTAAAGATTTGTTTATTTGAGAGAGAGTGCACGTGCGAGTGGGGGGAGGGGCAGAAGGAGAGGGAGAAGCACACTCCCTGCTGAGCACAGAGCCATGCAACATGCGCCTCCATCCCAAACCATGAGATCACAACCTGAGCCTAAACCAAAAGTCGGAAGCTTAACCGACTGAGCCACCCAGGCGCCCCACAGCACACCTAGTTTTTAATATTTTATTTTTATTTTTTAGAAGTAAGCTCTAGGCCCAATGTGGGACTTGAACTCACGACCTTGAGATCAAGAGTCACATGCTCCACTGACTGAGCCAGGCAGGTGCCCTTAGTTTTTAATATTTTAATATAGTAATACTTTATGCATTTCACACAGACTTTAACTTTCAAACCCTTTCTTTGTGTTTTAGTTTATGTCAGAGAAACACTTAACTGTTTATCAGAAGAAAAATCTGATTTGCCACCCATGAGCTGGGTATTTTGAAACAATTTTGTAACAAATATATTGCCATTCTTAATTTAAAAATTTATTAAAAGTTTCTCAACTACACTATCATGATAAATTCATGTCTTACAGACATGAACCTCATTCTGCAAAATGTGGCTTGGAATGGATAAGCTGTATAATGGTCCCCTCAGAATTGATATCAATGCATTAATTTTCTTCATAATTCAGCAGCCACAGAACTCGCATGAAAACCTATCCATGCAATTCTGGTAATTGTAGTCTCAGTTTTGAAATTTCTTGTCAAAACCTACACACCTGGGGTGCCTGGGTGACAGTCGGTTGAGCATCTGACTCTTGGTTTCAGCTCAGGTCGTGATCTCGGGGTTATAAGATCGAGCCCCACGTCGGGCTCCACACACAGTGCGAAGTCTTCAGATTCTCTCTCCCTCTCCCTCTGCCCCTCCCGCTCATGCTCTCTCTCTCTCTCTAAAATAAATAAATCTTTTAAAAAAACCCTACACGCTTTATGTGTTTTGTCTCTCTAAAATTCGATGACTTCATGAGAAATGTTACTAAATAAAGCACCAGTTCTCTAAAAAAGCATTGGCCTACGGGCCCTTGGGGATCAAAATTACTTGCATACTGATACTAAGATGTTACTTGCTTTTTCATCTTTGTTGACATTTGCACCACAGGTGCCAAAGCAATGGTGGTAAAACTACCTGGTGCCTTAGCAAGACGCAAAGCAGCGGCACCGCCCTATATTAGTCGTCACGAAATTCAACCCCATACCCTTAGAGTTAAAGACCTACAACATGGCTTTCATTTATGAATGTCCTTAATGAAGCAGGAAAAATTAATTTTATTAACTCTGAACTCTTGGGCATATATCTTTTAATATTTAAAGTTTTTCTGCTGGATGGACACTGGTTGTCCTGAGGAAAAGTACGTGTGCAGTTGTTTGAGTTGCAAGCTAAATTAGCCGCATCTTTTCAAAATAGAAAACTGTTTTTACTGAAAGAGTGAATGACACACTAACTGATTATTCAGACCTGAGTATTTGGCAGATATCTTATCAAAAATGAACCAAGTGAGGGGCACCTCACTGGCTCAGTCGGGAGAGCATGCGGCTCTTGATCTCGGGGTCGTGAGTTCAAACCCACATTGGGTATAGAGATTACTTAAAAACTTTTAAAAATGAACCAAGTGTGCCTGTTACTACAAGGCAAACAACTGAGAGTATTTGTTGCCAAGGATAAAATTAGAGCTCTCAAGCAAAAATTCAAAGTTTTGAAAGCTTGCATCAGCCATCAAGTGTCAATACATAGATTTTTCTGAGATCAGTGGTGTTTTTAATTAAAGTGATTTGTTAGATATTGTAAAATGAAGTGGGACAACATTTGGAAGATCTGCATTAGTCAAACAGTATTGTTCCAAATGACCCGTGCGTGATG